CGCGGCCCGCGGGCCGCCGCGGCGCCATGGTGGAGAAGCGCTGCCCGCGGCTGCAGCGCGACGGCGTCTACCGCTGGTTCTCGGAGCTGCCCTCGCCGCAGCGCGTCGAGTTCCTGTGCGGCCTCCTGGACCTGTGCATCCCGCTGGAGCTGCGCTTCCTGGGCGCCTGCCTCGAGGACCTGGCGCGCAAGGACTACCACTCGCTGCGCGACTCGGAGATCAAGGCCAACAACCCGGCCGACCTGGGCAGCCTCACGAACCTCACGGACGAGGTGGTGCGCAGCAAGCTGCTCGTGTCGCTGGCGCTGCTCGGCTCGGCGCACCGCGAGGCCGCCGGCGTGCTCTTCCGCACGCTCACGCACATCGACTCCGTCATCAACAACTACGGGCTGCAGCTCAACGAGGGCCGCACGGGCGATGAGTTCCTGCTGCTCTTCACCATGGCCTCCAACCACCCGGCCTTCAGCTTCCACCAGAAGCAGGTGCTGAGGCAGGAGCTCACGCAGATCCAGAGCATCATGGCCAGCAGCGGCGGCAAGAGCCCCGGCAGCGCCGCCCTCAGCGCCGTGGCCACCTACCCCGGGTGCCACAAGGTGGGTAGCCCGTGGGCCACCCTCCCAAGACCCTTCCCTTGAGCGAYGGCCAAGGGTCACGGGTGAACGTTGACAACCTCTTGGGTTGTCCGTGAGCGCCCGCTTGGGGGGTGGATGGTGGGTTGTGCGGGTGAAAAGGCAGAGGTTGTGGTGGCCTCGAGATGTTGAAGGWGCGTTCAACAGGCAGCGCGGTGGTCCTGGGTGGACCTGTGGTGGTGATGCTGCTCCCGAGGGGCTCTCCTGCCTGGCAGGTTAGGGATTTAGCAGGGAGAGCAAGGCCGGAGCATCCAGGCATGGGAGCCAGCAGCTCTTCCAAAGCCTCTGCTTGGAAGGGGCTGCAAGAGGGGATCGGCTYTGTGGGATGTAGCTGTCCAGTGGCAAAGACATCTTGGTGAGTCTTTAGACAAATACAGTAGCAAATACTGTACGTTTCTGATCCTAAGCCTAAAGAAAGTCCCTGTTGTCCTGGATGCCCCTGGTATTGACCTTGCTTCCCTGTGGTTCAGCATCATTAACTTGCAGGTTGTTCCTTCGATTGCAAGCAATTAAGCTGGGCAGCAGCATTTGAAGATGGGCTGTTTGTAGGGAGATGCATTGCTGTTAAGTGCTCAGAGCCAGCCACAAACTGTGGAGTTAAACGACTGCCTTGACTGAGATAACCTGCTTTAAACTTCAAAACAAGTCCCAGATAAGAGGGTTTATTGCTTGATCGGTTCCCTGCCCAGATAGCAAATTTAGCATGGAGGGATGCTACCCACCTTTTCCTGGGAAAGCTGGTGTGTACCTAAAAGCTAGAACCAGCCCTAAATCCCTTACAGGTGCTTAACTACTTGGAACTTTCCTTACATCAAAGATAAATGGACCCTAACTTTGAAAGGAAAGATTGCAGATCTACCAGAGTTCTCCAAAAAGAGGAGCCAAAAAGGATAAAACAATGCAAGAACGATTACTTTTTACAGCACACTTTCACAGCCTCACAAATAGCGCACGTTTTACGTAGCTGAGAAAGTCTGGCATGGTTTAAGTCATTCTAAGATGGACGGAGGATTCATCCTTCCAGTTTTCCTGCCAGCAGTAAATTGAACGGTGCAGTCATTGTTTTTCTTCTGACCGCGTTGAAGGACTATCCGTCAGAAAAAAATAGGATTTAAAAAAAATGGGCTCTGGGGACTACTAGTAGCTAGGGACAGTAGTTGAGAGGGAGAAAGAATGTGTTATTTTACATTTACCATCTCCTGAATTGGCATTTTGTTTGAACAGATGCAAACTTTCTTTTTTTTTAAGATTGCTAAACTTTTTAGATGATAGCTGGTTAATTTTGCTGCTTTGAGACTCGAAAGTTGGCTTAAAACAAGGATTGGCGGAAGCAAGTGGAAAAAAAACAATGCCTTGCTCCGTTGAGCCTCGTTTAAATACGCACAAATACATTCCAATACTGTGGATTTAGATCTCGTGATGTTACCAAACTATGTTGTGACAATGCTTGTGTTGTAACATCACCTAGAAAAACCAATGCAGATGTCCAGAGAACGTGAGCTGCATTGGGCTGCTGCCTGCCAAAAGTGCTGTGCTCTTTGCTGCCTTCAGGGTTGGAGGAGGTTTCCTTTCCCCAAGCCAGCACTTTCCCATCCCTCTTGCTGCTTTTACTACAGCTGGAGCTACGGAGCTGGTGCTTGAGGTTAATACAGTGTCGGGTTGTGTGGGTGCTGCACCTAAATTCCCAATTTCGCCTCAAAATGAGCTGGGGAGGGAGTCACCATTGGAGCTCCTGGGAAATGGAGGAGTTAGAAGGGTCTGGATGTGTAAGCTCATGCAAATAGGGAGTTTTTTGTGAACATAAGTAGCTACCATTCAGTGTTCCCCTTGTGCTGAGTGTGGCAGCAGGGGCTAACTTTGTGAGTATCTGTTCCTGTGCAACTCGGGGTCTTTTAAAATTCCTAACTGTTCAAATTTGACGTGTTTGTTCAGCAATGCAAAAACGTTGTCGGGTGCTCCTTTGCCTCTACAGAGACAAACGTCTCTGTGCTCCTTCTGCCTGGCTGGTGCTGTTAGGGTGACCCAGCTTTCACATTAGCTAAATTTCTTTCCCCAAAGGACTGGAGTCTGCAATCCTCTCCGCTCCTCTTAAATCTCAGTTTCAAAACTTAGACTACCCGATTCCTAAGGTTGCTTTGGGAGAGAGGGCTTAAGGGCTTGTTAGCAAATACAAACCACGTTTTGCCATTGCCTTTTACTGCCCGGAGCATTTGCTGAGTGCAGAAAGGCTCCAGGCAGCTGCCCATAACTTTTCACTTGATTTTTTGCATTTCAAGATTATTCTTGGACTAAGAGAATCGGAACTATCCAGGAAAGGATGGCTGTGGCTGGTTTCAAGTAGGTCAGTAATTATTAGATTCATGGTTTCTGTGTGGTAGGACAAAATTAAGTTTCCTTGTCCTTAGTAAGGAAAAGTACCTTTCCCAAAAGAGCCTATTGAATCAGTCTCCATAAAGATGATAATTTCTGCCTTTTGTTCTGCATTTTTAAATTACATTAGTGTTTACACAGCAGTTTTGTGGACTCTTCAGACTTTTTTGCTTACAGGCATAAGGTCTGATATGCTTCGTATGTTTTTTAAATTGAAAGAGTGCAAATCATCTTCAAATTAAGCTCAGATACATATCTAATGAATGATGCCCTTTAAACCTTTTCTTTTTTTTCCTGAGATTAACCATAAAATATGTATTTTAACTGCTAATGATCCAACTGACATTTCCCAGCCATTTTCACCTCTCAAGATGACTTTATTCATCTTTCTGCTTCTGCCTATGCCACCAAGGAGTGGGAGAATGGTGCTGTGTGTGGAACCCAGTATCTCAAAGGCTTCTTGTGCCCACAAGACTTGGTGCTCACAACTGCTCTGCCCTCCTGGAGGAGCTGGAAGCGTGGGCYATGTGGAAACCAGTCCCCAAATGCTCCCTGCTCTGCATGGACACGACTAGGTGCTCTCCTATGCAAAGTGCTGCTGATGGATTTGCGACCTGCAGCGAGTCGGGAGCTGCATCCCAAACCTGCTGCCTCTGCCCGCATCCTGAGCCCCCCATTCAGCCTTCTGTCATGCACATCTTGTGACAACAGACATCCTATGGATGGAAGTCGCACTTTGCTTCCCTGCTTTCTTTATGATAGGAGCTTTTGTTGACTTCAGTGGAGYTCAGTGCGATGAGCTGGTTGTGGCCTCAGCTGTAGAAGCAGAGCAATAAATAGCAGGTCTGGCTGTAGTTTGCAGTTGGAAGGAAGTGACACTGTAGTTGTGTGGCTGTTTGAGCTGATACCTTGTGAATGGGAACGAGGGTTCTTGTCCAGTCACCTTCCAAATTCTGCATCAATGTCTATTTCAAGCTTATGGCATAAGATGCTATTTTTCACCCGTGCTAATTCCATAGGCTCATCTAAACCTTAGAAATAACTGCTAAAGACTGTATGTTGGGAGCCGTGTGGGGCTGATGTTATGTGTCCGTTTCAGTTACCTTTATTGCTGTTTTGTTTAAGTACTTTCGGTCAGGTGATTGAAATGACGTTTACACAGATTTTTTTAGCTACAGAATGATGAGCTGGAAACAGAAATCTTACTTGGTAGGTTGAAACCAAGTCCTTAAAGTCCTCACAGAGCAAGTGATCTAGCTGGTAAACGCTGCACATCAAGTGCCTGTGTGGCTCTTTAAGCTAGTTTTGCAAGGGTAGAATAAACCATGGAAAATTTTTAGCCTCCCAACCAAAATAAGATGGTGTTGAATTGCTTTAGTAGTTTACCATGTTAATAGCAATTGCTAGGTAATTGTTAATTTGCTGTTATCAGTGGATTCACCCAGGAACAAGAGAAGTTGTTGCTATCTGAGGAGCGATCTTATTTTTAAAAACACGTGAAACTCAACCTCAGAAGCTAGGAGAAGGACTCTTGGCTTCCAGTTGGTGGCATATGCCAATTCTTGCCTGTCCTTTTGGTATTTTAGGTACTCGAGGCTGCAGGGGTTGCACAGAGCTATTGGCTCTGTTCCARGTTAGAAACTGGAGGCTTCTAATTCTGACTGATTTTATTGATATTCTTGTTTTGCATTTTCACAAGTATGAGTTTCACGTATAAGGGAACTGTCCAAAAAGGAAGCTGATCTTTTGTATTAACAGCGTTTACTACCAAGTTTGTTTTGCCTAATCATACAAAGTTACGTGATGAACTTGATTTTAAGAACATCAGTTGGTTTGCCTGGMAAATGGACTGTACATCCAGACATTATGTGCAGAACAGCCAAAAAACTTGAAATTTGAGCTAATAATGCTGTGTTTCCATGAGCTGTTTTCCCAATTTTTGCACAACCTGAATGAAGTTTTACTTTAGGAGTGCATTCTACTTCCTTTTTTWAAATTTGCTCTAACTTTTTTTCTTGCTAATTTCCTAGTAAATGTTAAGTAAAATTGAACCAGACCTCACTTATTGCAGAGTAAAAGCASCTGTTGTAAAATATAGCACATTTTGAACTGTAGCAGGCTGTAAACCGGTTTATTGATGCACAGCTGCGTGTAGATCAGGGCAGAAGTAGCAGCAGGTCAGGGCACCTGACAGGCATTCCAGGGTGTAGCTTAAAGGGGTTTCAACAACATCCTCCATGGGAAGTGCTTAAATGTTTGCCTAAGAGCTTGCTCTTAAAAATTATTTGAATTGCTCAAAATAAGGTCCTTCACCTGAAGAATAGGTACAGGCACTGCCTTTTTTTTTTTTTTCCAGCAGAATAGCTCTGATTTTAATGTGGGCTTCTTAGGTAGGCAGTTCTTGTAACGCTGCTCTTAAATGTGACTAGTAAAGAGGCAAATGCAGTCRTTGATATGGATATGCTGGAGTGCATCTCCCAGTCTTTGCTCTTGAGAGCCTTTTCCCCCCAGAACAAAGSAACTAGAGGAACATTATTCCCAATAATACAGGTAAGCTTTTTTTTTCTGTGAAGATAGTCTTTATTTATTTACTT